CCATTGCATTTTTCTTCATAATTATTTCCTAAAATTACAACATTCTTTTTACTTCAAAATAATTGACTTGCATTCCTTTTTTATTGGTGTATATAATAATTAATAAATTATTATTTCCTTATAAAATTACGTTATTATGCAAAATTTTCAAAGAATTTTACCAATTAATTAATAGATATTAATAGATATCAATTAATTTTCATATTACATTTTGTTACCAATTAAGCTTTATTAATTATTTTATCAATAAATTAATTAATTATTATTAAAAAAAGTTTGAGCGGGAAAGTTGGATATAGATATAGATTATCAGACCAATTTTTTTGACCATATATTTAGTGTTGCAGTTTCCTTCTTTATTTTACATACATTACCAAATTTTCAGAGTTTACAAATTAATAATGGGTAAATTACAAAATCATCTATCGACTAAATCATAATTCATAAATTAGTCTTCAATTATTAATTTTTACCAAATTAAGTCCTTAAGTATTCAATATTCTTATTTTTGTCGTTCAATACATCTGACATAGAATCAAAATGAGTAAAAATTAAATATTTGAGAACTCAATTTGGTAAAATTATTAGTCAAAGACTAATTCGTAAATTATGCATGAATAATTGGGGGACGAGTTTGGTGATTTACTTATTATCTAAAAATATAATAAGCCTCAATGAAAGTTATATCCTTGATTTATGTCCCTCTTTTGTATGCAAATAAATATGTACATTTTACTTTAAATGTTGTACATTCCAATGTTATTTGACAAAACTACCCTTACACTGTTATAACACCGTTAGTTTTTAATTCCAACTTTAATAACACATCATTATTACCATACACCTATATCTATCATATCTTTTTCCTATTTTTAATTATCATTTTATTAAAATTATTATATATTAATTTAATACTTTTTTTTTTGAATGCAATTTAATACTTAATTATATTTTAATTAAATTTCTATGAATGATAAATTATATATGTGTGTGTACAAGATGTATATATTATTTGTATATATATAATTCGAATTATAATTTTTAATTATTTGTATTTATCAATGTTTTAATATTGGGCATGAATTTTCGCGCATCGCGCGTACACAATGCTAGTAATAATTATAAATTGCGACTAATGAATATCAAATAGGTAAAATATATTGCTCTTTATTTATTTCCTTATTTATTATACATTACCAAATTTGTAGAATTAACAGAGTGTATAAATTAATGCATCATCTTCAATATGATTCTCTTATGATTGGGTGCATACACACAAACTACTGGAAAAAGTAATGGCGACTATGAATATCAAATATTTGATTGTCTTATATCTGACAATTTTTACTTTGTTTAGCTTTCATGAATGTAAGTGTATATGATAGATGTATCTTCTGCTCGTTTTCATCTTCTCTCTTCCTTTAAAATCTAATTAAATTGTTATCATAAACATATAACTTTTGTTGTTGTTGTTGTTGTTATAGGTCGGATATCAACAAATAAGAAAATAGAGATTGGTGATCATTGTCAGCAAGCTACATGCGTTAATGGTCAAAAATGTTGGTGTTGTATTATTGGGGACTGCTATTTGGATTATAACGTGTGCGAAGAAGAATGCAAGAAAACACCTCATATCTCAAATAATAAAATTATAATTTAAGAGATCCCATTGTTGTCAAAAGTGATTGGAATATATCATGCTTTTAGTGAGTTTTTATTAAAAAGTCAAAATTTTTTTGAAAGCAAAGTTGCAAATTTTCATTAGAGTGTGGAATAATAGCATCAGGAGGGACATCATCCCAATACATAGTAATGTCCTGGTCAGAGACCAATAAAACTAAAGTATGAGCAATAATATTTAAACGTCTAGGAATAAAACGAAATTGACATGAATTAAACTGTGCCATAAGCACTTGACACTCATGAACCACAATTCCAACATATGATCTGAGCTGCAAGCCAATTCTGAATAGATAGGATTGTAGGACCGAACAATCTGTGTGAATTGTAATTTCTGTTACTTGCCGATCTTTCAACCAAGATAACGCCTCCTTACAAGCTAGAGCTTCCGCTGTGATAGCATTTTCACAAAACGGAAGCCGACCACTCGTTGCTGCCACAAAGCCTCCACTCCCATCTAACATTACTGCGCGAAACGCTGCTGTCCGTGACATTTGGCTCCATGCCGCATCTACAAAGCAGACTGGTCCCTGTGGAATGACGGCGTGACATTGCTGCTGTGCTGTTGGAGGCGTTGGTGACCGAGCCGCTACCCAAGTAGTGAGGGTTGCTTTGGCGCTGCACCATAACATCTTCGGCATCTTCATACTCCCCTCCCAAACTACTGAGTTTCTTGCAATCCAAAGGTGATATAAAACTGCAACAATTTGAGTAAGATTCTCCTTTGTTAGCACAGTCATTGCATTCTGAAACCACTCAACAAAAGATCCCCCAACCACAGAAGATATATCAATACAAGATTCATTCCAAACTCGACAAGCATATTGACATTCTAATAAGCAATGCATAACATCCTCATTAAAATCAAGACACATAGGACAGGCTAGAGACACATCAACTCTTCTAATTGCCAGGGCTATTGCAGTTGGCAAAATACCACTTAAGGCTCTCCACAAGAAAGTTTTCCACCTTGATGGCACATCCAATTTCCGCAACGCATTCCATCTATTAAAACCAGTATTATTTTGTATTTCTCCTACAACCACCCGGTAAGCACTTTTAACAGAGTATGATCCATTCTGCTCCTTATACCAATACCATGTATCCTCATAATCCGGAGAAACAGGCACCCTGCGGATTCTATTTACATCAATGGGGTCAAAAATATCATTCAAAATATCCAGGTCCCAGGTACGAGTATCCTGATCAATCAAACCTGATACTCTCGCCTCATAGATATTACCTGGTAAATCAGTATGAATCTTATAATCTAAGTCCAATAGCCAAGGATCCTTACCTATCAATGTTGTTTGTCCATTCCCAATTCTCCTCCTTATCCTCCACATACAAGGTCATGGGCAACCATAATACTTCTCCAACAATAACTTGGGCTATTTCCCACAATAGCATCTATAAAATTAGACTTAGGGAAATACCTTGCTTTATATACTTTTGGAACCAAAGATTTTGGCTTCGTAAGGAAACGCCATGCCTGCTTCCCCAGCATTGCAAGATTAAAGGCCTTTAGGTCCTTAAAACCCAGTCCCCCAGCTACTTTGGGCTTACTGAGACGATCCCAAGCCATCCAGTGAATACCTCCTCCGCCTACACCCCCCCTTCTCCCAATAATACCTATTCATAGTCCTCTGAATCGCCACACAAAGTGAATCTGTTAGTAAAAAGACACCCATTGAAAAGGTAGGCATAGCCTGGGCTACCGTTTTCAATAGAATCTCCTTACCAGCTTGTGACAGCAACTTCTTATTCCAGGATCCCACCCTTTGTCGAATTTTTTCCTCAATGTAAGCAAAGACCTGTTTCTTATTTCTACCAATAAACGATGGTAGTCCCAAATATTTTCCGAAGTCAATCGCCTGGGCCACCCCTAAAACTGCTGCCACCTCTCCCCTTATCTCTTCCGATGTATTTTTACTAAAGCAAATACTGGATTTATGATAATTTATAGACTGGCCAGAAAACTTTTCATAGAGCTCTAAACATCACTTAATTGCACCCCCTTCCTGGGCATTTGCCTTAAAGAACAAGAGGCTATCATCTGCAAAAAACAAATGAGAGATAGCCGGAGCCCCTCTTGCTACTCTACATCCATGTATAGTTCCCATAGACTGTGCCTGCTATAACATCAAGGACAATCCCTCCGCGCAAATAATAAACAGATAAGGAGACAAGGGGTCTCCTTGCCTGAGGCCCCGTGTTGGCACCACAACTCCTCCAACTGCGCCATTTATATGGATGTTGTACGAAACCGAAGTAACACACAACATAATCAAATTTACCAATCTTTTTGCAAATCCCAGCGCTTTCATCATCTGTCTCAAAAAAGTCCACTCCATCTTATCATACGCTTTAGCTATATCCAGCTTTAGGGCCCCCCAACCAGTCTTTCCACACTGCTTCCTATTAAGATAATGTCCTACCTCAGCCGCAATTAGGATATTATCTGTTATCAACCTGTCAGGAATGAAAGCACTCTGTGATTCCGAAATAATAGTATCCATAAACGGCTTCATCCGGTTCGCAATCATTTTAGCCATAATCTTATAGACCACATTGCTTAACGCAATTGGTCTCAAATCCGCAGGGTACTCAGGGACCTTCTTTTTGGGGATTAGGACAACATTGGAATCATTTAACCCCTCTGGGAAGACACCCGTATTAAGACAATTGAACACAAATTCTGTCACCTCATTTCCCACAACACCCCAGAAGTGCTGATAAAAGCCTGGATTCATTCCATCCGGCCCCGGTGCCTTATCCGGAAACATAGCAAATAAAGCTCCTTTCACCTCCTCCGCCACAAATGGTTTCAATAAAGACTCATTATGCAAATCAGACACACGAGGGGGCACCGTATCAAAAAAAGTACTAAGGGGCGGGGCATTAGATGATTTAAAAATATCAACAAAATAATCAATAACAACAGCATTCATAGCACCCTTAGTTACCCAGCTTCCATCCACCCCTTTTAATCTAGTCAGATAATTTTTACGCTTACGAGATGAAGCATACCTATGATAGAATCTGGTATTTGCATCTGCCCCACGGAGCCAATGTTGTTTCGCCCTTTGTCGCCAATAGATATCCTCCTGCGTCTCCAGACTGGTCAATTGAGCATTGATTGTGTTGTACTCTGCCAGCACTGTAGGGCCTCTGCCTCCTTTTATTTTCATCAGTTTGGCATGTAATAATTTCAACTGCTTACCAAACATATGAAAACGATCACCACCCCAGGCCTGCAATCGGTCTTTACACAACTGTAGGTTATTCAGCAGCCCATTTCCCTGCCCATCAAGCCATGCCTACTCCACCACCCCTCTACAACCTGAATCCAGAAACCAAGCCATTTCAAAGCGAAACGCACGGCGACCACCTCCACCAAATCCCATAGGATTAGAAATACTCAGAAATATCGCCGAGTGATCTGACTTACGTGTGAGTATATTAACCGTCTTGGCTTCTACCAACAATTCACGCCACTCCATAGTTGCTACTGCTGTATCAAGCTTTTCCTCAACCCAGTCCTCCGTACCCTCACCCCTTTCCCAAGTGTATGGGTATCCCTCCATAGGCAACTGTAACACACCACATAAATCTAGAGTCTCCCCAAAACCTCGTAGCAAATTTTCCGGGTGTGGATTATTTCCACGCTTCTCAGACTGGAATAAAAGATCATTAAAGTCACCAATGACAACCCATGGTAGTGTGGATTGCGTTGATAACCTCTTCAATACATCCCACGACTCCCGCCTCCTAGATCTTTGTGGAAATCCATAATAACACGTCATACGCCACGGGGGGTGACTTTCTACTGTGACCTCCACATCCACATGGTTTTTAGAATAGCTAATCAACCTTGCAGTGCTATTATACCTCCATAACAATGCCAAACCACCATGTTGTCGTTCAGGATCCACATAAAATACCCCTTCAAATCCTAGTTTTACACGTAATCTTTTCGCACGATCACTCTTCACCATTGTCTCAATCAAAAATACAAAATCCGGCTTCTTACTGGAGACCATGTCCACCACCTCTCGAACTGTCTGTGGATTGCCCAAGCCACGACAGTTCCAACATAACGTACTCATGATAACGGGCGGGACTGCGCAGCAGTACCCGCCATGAACACATTTTTTGACACATCGACCATAACTATATCCTCCTCCCCAGTCCGCCTCCCCCCCTCATACCCCTCTTCCCTTCTCCTCTCCGCCACCGCCTCCACCACCGGCTCTACAACCACACCACCTCCCGAAACCACCCGCTCCCCCTCCACCCTTGACATACCCACCCGAACCCCCAACACCTCTCCCCCAACCACATCTCTCGGCCTACCACCTACAGGCACCAGCCAGTTCTCCCCCACCTCCCTCGGTCCCCTACTTCCCCCCACCCTCATCTCCGGGCCATATGGATACTGCTGAACCGGGACCATAGAAACCCGAGCTTTCATGCAAAATTTGTAGGAATGCCCCATCAAACCACAGAAAAAACAGAAGGAATGTAGTCTCTCGTACTTGAAGTTAACCCAACATGTTGTTTTATCACGCTTCAACAACTTCATGCGCCTCCGCAAAGGCTTATCAACTGGGATCGACACACGGATACGATAGAATGCTAACCATGGCGCCCCCACGAACCTCTCATCGTGCTTAAGAAAGGTTCCAATGAAATTTCCCATCTGCTCAAGTATTGGCTGTGATGTATATCCCATAGGCACATCATGCAACTGCACCAACATGTCAACAGTGTTCAAGTCTACATTAACCGGCAGCACCCCATCATCAACTAGGCGACACACCAAGGTACTATTCTCAAATGCCCATGGCCCTCCATCTAGAACATAATCGACATTCGTTTTATGGAAGAAAACGAAAAGAAACAAACCCTTTTGTATCTCTGTCACCGTCACCCCCATCACCGGTTGCCAAACCGAAGCCAAAACTTGTCTCATGTATTCAAGCTTAATCAATTTCGAAGTCAAAAATCTGCCTACCACATTCCATGTTTGTATCGGAGGTTCAGCACTTGCCTCCACCCCTACATCATCCGGCGCAAAACAATCTTCTTCATCTTCAATAGTGATGTCTGCCCACCTTTCTGCCAAAGCCACGACTTGCTCCTCTCCTCCTTCTAATGCCATGCCGAACACGCTGAACAACCAGAAACAATTCGCAGGCTACGTGTGCGAACCAAAAACAACCAGCGCCATCCACGTCGCAAACACAGGAATAACGATGCAATCCAACAGATTCACGTCGCAACACAAACAGCACAGTTCGACTCAATCCAAACAGAAGTTTTGACGCTAAACAACGGATTAAAATCCGGGAAAAGTATTGAAATCGCAAAACCCTAGACAAACCCTAGGAGAGGAAACAAAACCCTAGCATTCTAGAGAGAGAATTACATAGCCATAATCTAAAAAGTTAAATAATCTAAATTATCATTTGGTTTGGGGCTTTGTACCTTGCTATTAGATTTGATAGAAATTAATATGTTCGTTTTCTTACTTTTGTTATTCGACTATTAGAGTTTTAGATGTGTGATACACGAAATAAATTATGTTATCAGTAATTTAACAGTTAATTCAACCAGTTTAATCGGTTTAGAACTTTAGGTAACCTCTAATTTTTAATAATCATATTTTTCAATCAATTTTTAGTAAAATTCTAAACCAATTAAGCCGATTGAAACCAGAAAAATAACAAATGAAAAATATGAAGAGACAAAAATTTGCTTACTAAAAATATAAAAAATCATGAGATGACTAAAAGTGTCCAAAAAATAATAGACTAGGATGTTAATTAAATGGCAAAATTGATAATTTGGGAGTAAATTTGGAATTGCCACCAAAGACAATGAACCTTTGGTGGAATTAACCCTTAATTTAAATATACACTAGAAAAATGAAAAGATACTAAAATTTATAATATATATATATATATATATATATATATATATATAGAGAGAGAGAGAGAGAGAGAGAGAGAGAGAGAGAGAGGAGTGATCACATGTGATCATGTTGTTAGGTATGGTCATATGGTCAATTATAGGCCATTAGATTAGATAGATCCAATGAATCATATTAATCAAGATTTTTTCAGTATTTTCGGGCACATTCTACTACCAAGTGAACTGCAAGGGTAAACTCGTCATAAAACACCGGAAGAGGGGAAATCACATTGTTGTGTGTTTTATTACACTATTGGTGCACATTGTCAACACTATTGGTGTATTCTGGAAGCCGGTCGCTATAAATGGCCATTGTAATTACCATATCACGGGAATACACCATTGGTGTGTTTCACTTTGGTGTGTTTTATTACACTATTGGTGTATATACGTTGTCAACACTTTTGGTGTATTCTGGAACCCGCTCGCTATAAATGGCCACTGTAATTACCATAACACCCCCACTTACCAAAACGTGCGAAAATCCTCAGAATTACCACTGCCGTTAGATTAAATTGATTCAACGACACAGATACGACCACACCTAATGACATGACCACATATGAGCGTTTTTCTATATATATATATATATATATATATATATATATATATATATATATATATATATATATATATATATATATATATATATATATATATATATATATATATATATATATATATATATATATATATATATATATAAAGGAACCCCGGTACACACGCAGTTATCTGTGCGGGGGGGGGGGGGGGGAGGGGGGTTTGATCTTGCTCTCTTGGGGCAGGGGCTGGGGTTCATAGAGAGATAGGAGGGAAAGAACATTGGTCTCACAATGATGTATGGGGCAAGGACCACTTCCACATGCATGAGGTTATGAGGAAATGAAAAGGGGGAACCACTTGCTCAAAAGGTATTTGAATTGGGTTAAACCAAGGGTGGAAGAACATGCGGGAAAAATAAAGGCATTCATAAGGATGGCATGGTGACAAGGATAGGTTATACTTTGGGGCACATGAGAATGGACTACTATACGGTCTGGCCTTCATGAAGACGAGTTGCTAGGCTAATTTTGAGACTGTTTGGTTGTAGCCATAGAACCTTAGTTTGTTATTACATAGATAGACCGCTTGGTCTTTATGTTGTTTAGGCCACTTTGGGGCCATATGACTTTTTACAATCGTTATACCCTACACCACGGAACGCGTAGCACTGTGCGCCACGCGCCTCCCAAAACGACGTCGTTTTGGGAGGCGCGGTAGGAAGTTGCTGTGATTATGTATAACATTATGTACATTTTTAACATGGGGTTTTTTTTTTTTGAAAGAAAAATTAACTGCCAATCACTGGGGCAGAAAATTTCAAAAAATAAAAATAAAAATTGAAACGACGTAGTTTTGCATCTGGGCACATAATGCAACGCGCGTCGTGGTGTAGGATATAAATTGCCGACTTTGTAGGCATATTGCTTTTGATTGAGGATGGTATAAAGCCTATGATTCCTATTAAAAAAATGTTGGGATTCAGCCAATCAGATTGCCTCTTTTTCCAGCTCTAGTTTTACGATGTCGTTTTCTCTCTCTTTTTTTTTTTTTTTTTGGAATTCAAATTTTTGCTTCTCCCATATGTTTAGTTTGTAATCAGAGACGTGTGGTGTTAGTCCTAGAATTTAGATTAGTGGGCTATTATCTACTGCATAGTTAGTAGTGTAATGTGTTTTGGTAGCGTGTAAATTAGTCTAAAATCTAAATGGGTATGAGATTGCTTAAAAGTACATGTTGTGTATTTTTTTATACATTACTCAGCTGATTTCTATACCTATAAATACATTCATATTCTAAGTGTTGATATGCAAACACAAGGCGAAGTGAAATAAATTACAAGGTTGAGAGTGTTGATCCTTTATGCAAATAGAAATAAAAATATAAGAAAGTAAAGATCAAGGTTTTTAGCATTGTTTTCTGGCTTCGAGTGGCAACATGTCTGGGCAGATTATTATGGGGGTGCAGCTTCATCCTTAGCAGACCTCAAAGGTTATAAGGTTGCGTTGTGTGCGGTCTTATGTTGTCACTGAAAATAAAAGTGAAAAATTAATAAGAAGTCAAGAATGTCTATTTCGTGATCAAGAGGTTTGTAAATTATATACTACAATGCTTTGTATTCTTATTTTTTGCACATCTTATATTCTTGATATTTAACTTAGTTGTTTTTGGTGTGTTTTAAATATAGGGTGTGTTCATCCATGTCCATATACCTAAGGATATTGTTGCGAAATATAAGAACATGTACAAGGAGGGTAAAGTGTATGATATTAGAAATTTCCTATGCATCACTAACTTCTTCAAGTATAAAACAACCACTCATCGTTACATGATGTAGTTCAAATACAATATACTTGTGAAGGAGTATAAGCGTGTGAATTTCCCAAAAATAATGTTTTACTTCAAGAGTTTTGGAGCCATACTTGCAAAACAAGAAATCGACGAGAAAGTGTTGATAGGTTAGAGTTTAAAATAATGTTTTCTAAAGTCACTATGTTTTATTATAAACATTGTGATGCTAAGTTTTATTTAACTAATATGCCACTGTTTTCAAATACAGATGTCATTGGTCGTATTGTGGAGATATATTCTCCACAGGAGAAGGTAATAGATGGGAAAAAGAGTAGGCTAATTGACTTTGTTTTTGAAGATTCTAGGTATGAATCCTTACTCTGTTTTTTTTCCGTAAGGTTGATTTTAAAAGTGTATCTTATGCTTTTTCTGCTGGTTTTAAAATCTTATGCAGTAAAAAGCTTATTAAGTGTACACTGTGGGATGAGCATGTGGATCAACTAAGTCCTTATTTCCACTCAATTACTAATGATCCAGTCATATTGTGTATTCAGCTTTGCCGAGCTAAATTCATGGACAGTGAGTGATACGCATTATTATTCTTAATTTTCATCTATGTTACTACTTTGTTGACTAAGGAATTTGTATTCACTAATTTTATTTGCCAGATGGTGAAGTATGCATATGCAGCTCTTTTGATGCTACTGAGTTGTTTTTCACACTCTTGCAAAGAGTCTCCTGAGTTAAAGAGTAGGTCAGTTTCTCTAAGCAATTTTTACTGATCTGTTTAATAATTAAAAAT